AGAATAAATTCTTAAGACATCCCTCGAGGCCAATTTTTGAGTTTTTAATTGTTTATAATTTTTATTTTCAAATTTCAATAAAAGTTAACAAATTAACACAATTTTTTAAAAACGGACGTTTATTTTCTTATTCCGTTACTGCACATACTCTAAATAAGTTCAAATTAATGCAATATTACCAGCAGACAATTAAAAACCCATAAAGTAATATATTTCAATTGTCATAAACAACATTAATTAACAAATAGTTATCTTTGATTCCTCTCCAATAAAAAATGTTTTTTTCACATTTTCTTTTTAATTTTAGTTCATTTGAAGAATATTTTTCCTTTATGATTAAAAAATAACTTATTTAAATTGTTATAAACAATATTAATTAACAAATAGTTAACTTATGATCCTGTCCAACAAAAAATTTTTGTTACAAATTTTCTTTTTTACTTAGGTTCTTTTAAAGAATATATGTCTTTTTGCTTATAATATAACTTATTTAAATATTTAATATTATATATCCGTGGTCTTTTAACATTATCTAAATAAAAAAGTAAACGTGAAAAAAAAATTTTTGGTGGAAAGAAACAAAAATTAACTATTTGTTAATTAATATTATTTGTAACCATTTAAATAATTTATTTTTTAAACAAAAAGGACACATATTTTTAAAATGAACTTAAATTAAAAAGTAGACGTGAAAAAAATTTTTTTTGGTGGACAGGAACATAAGTTACATAACTATTTGTTATTTAATATATTGTTTATAACAATTTAAATAAGTTATTTTCTAATCAAAAAGGACAAATATTCTTTAAATAGACTTAAATTAAAAAGAAAATGTGAAAAAAAATTTTTAGTGGAATAGGAATCAATGTTAACTATTTGTTAATTAATATTGTTTATAACAATTTAAATAAGTTATTTTATAATCAAAAAGGACAAATATTCTTTAAATGAACTTAAATTAAAAAGAAAAGGTGAAAAAAACATTAATATTGTTTATAACAATTGATATAAATTACTTTCTGTTTTATTAATTGTGTGGTGGTCATATTGTATTAATTTGAACCAGATTCAGATCATATGCAGCAACGGAATAAGAAAATAAGCCTCCTTTTTTGAAAAATTGTATTAATTTGTTAACTTTGATTGAAAATAAAAATTATAAACAATTAAGAACTAAAAAATTGACCTAAAGGGATGTCTTAAGAATTTATTCGCCTTTAATTTAAAATAAAGAATACTGAAACCGGTTAAGAATTGTAGGCTGTAGACAGTTTTGAACAGTAAATTGTAAAAAAAATCCCATTGTGCGCTGTTTATAGATCTTTGGGCAAACCCGGCCTGGTCCTGGTCGGGGCCACGAAGTCGGGGCCAGATCATGAAAACCCGACCGGGGCCAGGGCGGTAATCGGGAACAAAAGTGGCGATTTCTGCACGGGTAGATATAAACGAATTTGTCACTTTTTCTTTATAATTTATTGTCACTTTATATTAATAATTTTGTTCAGAATTAATTATTGTAATTTATAAAATAGAACTATTCTCTATAAATTTAAATTAGTAAAAATGTTTACTGAATTAGTGACTGACTTTTTGCTTTTGAATTAAAGCAAAATTTAACTTATAAATACTTATTTTGCTAATTTATTAGTAAAATTTATTTTTAATAGTAATTTTTACTAATTTATTACTAAAATTAATATTTGTAAATTTAATAATTTAATTTCTACTAATTTATTCGTAAACTTAATATTTAATATTTGTAAATTTAATAATTTAATTTTTATTAATTTATTAGTAAAATTTACTAATTGAAAAGCAAAAAGTGAGTCGTTAATTTAAATTAGTAAACCGTTTTAAAACTTTAATTTTAAAGAGTTCGTGGAAAAAATATTATCAATATAAAAAGTCAATATTAAAGTAAAAGAAAAATAATTACAAAATAAAAATAAAATTAGTTTTAGAGAAAATGTAAATTGTTTAAAAAAAAATATTAATTAATTATTTACCTGCATGTTTTCGAAACATTTCGCAATATTTGCAATTCATAATAGTCCCGAGGTTGACAAATTTTATGCAAAAATAAACTATGCAACTCGACGACAGTCTTATTCTTAATTGTAAAATTAATCATTTTTATTAAAATGCTAAACGACGTGGGAAAATAAAAGAGGGTTTTCGTAAAATTATCCACATTATCAATCATTTTTAGAAGATATATAAAGAAGGAAAATACAAAAGTAGAATAAACAGTAAAATTAAAAGTAGTGTAAATTTTATAGAAGAAAATTTTCCATTTTTTGTCTGTCGATGCGAGTTTCCATATTCCAAGAACTCGAAATATTGTAAATAATATTTCTCCAGTAAACATTATAATAGTAAAAGAAAAAAAATTTTTGATAAAATTTCTTTTTATTGCCTCGAAGTATTTAGTCTCTCTATGCAATAAATCGAAGGGAAAAGTACGTTCCTCTTTTGTATATATCGTATGACTTTATAATATCTCTCATCGCTCTCTCTTCGAATTGCATTTTGCACCTTTAATCGACTTTATGTATAAATAATTCGTTTTCTGATGGGAATGACAATGTCTGATACATATTGCAGAAAGTTGAGTGTAATGAAAGGGGTCGAGAGAAATTGTCAAGAGAAACGGAGACGATTAAATAATTTATTATCGTATTTTACATTCGAAAACATATCTCGATGATTTTATTAAAAATGTATACAAGTTGGGCAATTTTGTTTTGCATCATGACCCAATGGGAAATTTACAACTGGCGTAGTACTGCGCCAGCACTGGCAGCACTGGCGACAAGGCTGAGAGCCAGCACTGGCATAACTCTGGGATGATAACGCCGTCCGGCGCTGCCGAAGTACTGTCTGTCAGTGCTGCCAGACAGCGCTGGCGCAGCACTGGACCAGTGCTGGCTGAGAATATTGCCGCAATAAATGCCGTATTGTTATTAATTAGTCGTAAATTAATAATTATAAATAATTTAACAACAAAATGGTAAATAATATTAATAAATAGTTATTATTCATAAAATATTTCTCTTCTTAAAGAAATTGTATTAAAGATGGAGACTAACAATATGGATATAGTAAATGAAGTAGAAAAAAATTGTTTATAACATTTAAAAATTAAATAATAAACAATTACAGTAAGTGTGCATTAAATTTTCATATTTTAGTACCTGACGATTGGAATCTAGAAATATCGCAAACCTATGAAAATAAACAAAATTGCTGACGAGGGGAATCGAACCTACGACCTACGGACTAACAGACTAACGCTCTAACCACTATGCTAACGACACGTGTGTGCAGTAAAATTTTAATATCTCAGTATCATTCAGACATACAATTATTGAGTCAAAGATGAGAAAAAAATAGGGATACGTTAGAAATAATAAATTGAAATAAAATAAATTAAACTAAATTTTTAAAAATTAAATTACTTTACTTATTGCATTTAACATTTTACGTAATTCTTAAATTACGTGGTAATTTTTTAATAATTTTTTATTCATAGTAAGAAGTATAATAGTATTTTAATAGGAACCAAATTATTATTGAGATTAAAGTTTAAATTTTGTTTATAATTTTAATTTGTTTAAATAATTTATTATTTACAAAATTAGACAATTGTGTTAAATTGTTATTATTAAATTTGACAAGAATAAAAAATGAACAACTAAAAAGTAAAATATTAATTTTTTTCAATAAATTTATATTTATAAACATTCATAAACTTTTTTTATAATTTTTTTCAAGTTTATGTCAAAAAAGCAATGTTGGCAAAGAGCGTTGTGAACAATTTTTCTATACTCAGCCAGCACTTGCCGCCGAGCCTTGTCCAAGCTTTGGCGAAACAAAAATTCTGTACTGCGCCAGCACTAATTGTCGAGGCTCGGCTAGACTACGCCGAACAATCGTCTGAGTACTAAGCCAGTGGTGAGCATCGGCACTACACTGGCATTTCCCATTGGGGAGGGTAGAAATATTGAAGGACAATAATTATTGTAGTATACTAGACGAGAATGTATGCAGGGTGATGACTTACAATGTTCCTTATTTTCTTGCAATTGTTTTCAGATTACTAGTGAAAAAATGTTTTAGTCAGACAATGGATTCTAATTTATCTCTCAGTGGTAAAGAAATATTTCAAGTCAGACATGTAATTATTCTTCTTAGTTTTAAATAGTAAAGAATTTTTTAGTGAGACAACATTCACTAATTTTTCTATCAGTAGTAAAAGCCAATTTCAGTCAGACATGAATGTCCTTTTATTGTAAGTACTAAAGAAATTTTTTAATCAGACAACTTTAATATATTATTAGTTTTTTTTTTTAGTTGTTATCGTTAGTTTTCTTTCAGTAGTAAAAGACAATTTCAGTCAGACAAGTTATTTTGCTTTTCAGCTTAAGTAGTAAAAAAATTCTTTAGTCAGACTTTAGTATAAGACAAATTTCTGCAAATTTTTCGTTCAGTAGTAAAAGTCAATTTCAGTCAGACATTTAATTATTGTTTTCAGAGAAGTAGTGAAGACATTTTTTAGTCAGACAACTGCTTTAATTTCTCCAGCAGTACTATAAAATAATTTCAGTCAATCAAAGAATAAAAAGCTTTTAGTACGAGTAGTATAAGTATTTTTTAGTCAGACAACTTTTTCTAATTTTTCCACCAGTAGTAAATGAGATTAGTCTTAGTAGTGAAAGATATTAATTCGGTAAAGTTTTCTTTCAGAGGTAAAAGTTAATTTCCGTCAGACATATAATTATCTTTTGCAGTTTATTTTAAGTAGCAAAGTAATTCTTTAGTCAGACAACTTTCACGAATTTTTCTTTCAGTATTAAATAGCTAATTTTAGTAATACGTGTAATTTTTCTTTTTAGATCTTAAGTAGTAGAGAATTTTTTTAGTCAGACAACTTTTTATAATATTATTCTACCACTAGTATAAGTCAATTTTTTTTTTGCACTTCTTTTGTTTTTTTTAATTTACATAGCACACGTTAAATTGTACACTGAATAGCTGGATTTTAAAACCTGAAAACAAAATTTTTAATTACAATTAATATTCATAGGAAGTATTTTTTTCCATTTTTGGAAAAGAATATAAAATAAAATAAATATTATTTTTATGTAAATTTTAATGAAGAAAGAAATACCAACTTTAACAAATGTGGCTAGTGACATTTCACTGACAATTGAACCAGACATTTTTATTGGTTTACCACCTCGAATCATTATTATCGTGAGATCTTTTTTTGTCTTATTTGACAAATTCACCCAGTCAATGTGCCAAATTTTATGTGAAATCGCCAGACTCTGTTATAATTAAAATTTGCACTATTTAGTTACTTTCAACTTTTATTACCTAAATTATTATATATTTATTTTTTTATTTAAATTTATTTACTTCTTCTATTTTCAAATTCATTTATTTACTGGAAATTTATTTATAATATATTGTATTATTATATTGTTAATATTTTTTTAATTTCACATTTTTAATACCTATTTCAATTTTATAATTTAATAAATATTAAATTTTTTTAATTTTAATTTTTTTTTTATTTTTATTTTTACTTTGGACATTATTTAAATTATCATACCCCTTCAATTAATTTCTGTCCATGAAAGCTGTAGAGAAAAATTTGAAACAAAATTGAACTGAGGTAGATAAAAAATAACCAACTTTGTTGATTGTTCTTATCAATTTTCGACACTTGGTAAATAATGGCAAAAATTCCTGCCATCGATGCAAAAAATTGAATGAAAATAACAAAACCAAATAGCTGATTCAGTTTATGACCAAGGCTGCACAAAAAGGAAAATATTTTCTGTTGTTTTAATTTTTTTTTTGTTACTGTCAATAAATTTTATGTTTTGTAAAAAAAAGTTAACGTTGACTTATTAAAGTCAGTAAAAATCAATTTCAGTTAGACATGAAATTTATCCTTTTCAGTTTTAAGTAGTAAAGAAGTTTTTAAGTCAGACAACTTTTTATATTTTTTTCTAGTAGTATAATTAAAAATTTTAATAACTTACTCGTATATATAATTATGATGAGTGACACAATCTTTAACAATTCTCGATTCGTATCGACGAATTATAAATTGTGAAGAATTTTTCTTAAATCCTGTTGACAATAAACTCAAACGATGTATTATTATATCCAATTGTCCTCCAATTTGTACAATGATCAACATAACAAAACACTCAATCGACGCTGTTGACATTGCAGTCATCCAAACGGCATAAGTCTGATATAAATATGTAGAAAAAAATGTAAATCTCGATTTGTGAATATTGAAAGGAAGCATCACGTCAAATAGAAGGGAAAACTTCCCACCCTTTTCTATTGATGAGAAAAATAATAATGAAGTCGTGGAAGCCATCATTATGTGAAAAACAATGCTATTTATCCTATTTAATTGTAGAATTCATAAATAATAATAATAGTTTAATTTTTTTTTCCAATTCACTGAATAAATATTAAACAAATAATTAATTATTTATTTGTTTAAATGAAAAAATACAAAAAAATAAATTAAATAGATGAAATAAATAAAAAAAATAAATGACTAAATACTTAAAAATAATAAAAATACTTAAAATTAATACTTATAACAAATAAATAAAAAATACTACTAAATAAAAATTTCGTAATGAAAAATAATAATAAACAAAAGAAATTTGTAATAATGGAAATTATTTTATTATTAAAATAAAAATTATCCTTTTAAAGAATAAATTACCTGCATTTTCGTGATATATTTTCTAAAATTTTAAATTCATAAATATCCCGTGGTTGACAATGTTTATTCCGAAACATTGCATGCAATTCGATGACATAATTATTTTTCACCAAAAAACTGCCGATTTTTATAAAAACAGCAAATACGCCAGAAAAATAAAAAAGTGTTTGTGTAAATTTATCCGCATTTTTACTAACGTAAAATAAATGTATAAATAGTGAAAATGTAAATGTCAAATGAATTGTCACATTGAAAATCGTATAAATATTGTAGAGAGAAATTTTCCACTTTTCATTAAATGACGACGGTCTCCATAAACCAAAAATTTTAAATATTGTAAATAAAAATTGTCCCGTAAACATTTTTTGCATTTTTTCAAAGTGATGGAAAATATTATTTATTATAATAATTGTCCTTTTTGTTAAAGTAAATTTAATTATTTTTTACAATAGAAGTTTGTGTTTAAAAAGTCCGTTTGCTCTTCTGTCTTCTGTCTTTTGTCATCTATAGATTTTGTCTTTCCCTTCAATTCACATTTTCTCCCCTTGATTAAAATATTTATGAAATAATTTCATTTCTGTTAGATTATTCTCCTCGTGTAAAGTATGTTGTATTTCGAAAAGGGATCATTGTTAACGATAAGAGTTATGCAATTTATGATTTATTAGCCTATTTTCTGTTCGACGAGAATATTCCATTAATTTTTTATTCATAAACATAAGCTAAAGAGAATCGTACGAAAACAGTGGAGACATAGATATTGGATTATTTATTGTTCGAGTCTTGAATGAACAGCGTTATATTTCTGAAGATAAATTAAAAAAGAAAATGTTCTCTTAATTAATTTATCCAAGTTTGACAATAAGTATATTTGTTTTTTATAAAAAAAACTATTTTAATTTTAATTTAATATAATTAAAATTTTTTAAATTTTAATTCACATTAATTTAAATAATTTAAACTATTCTTGAAATTGTTTATATATATGTATACTTCTGTTAGCAAAAAATGCACTTGTATTTGGTAAATTCTCAAAAATTTTTCATTAAATTGTAAGCAGAATATGCTGATTTCACTATCTAAAAAAATATATTTAATATACAAAGAAATATTTTTTAAATATTTTAAATAATCTTTAAATATTTTAATTTAAAAAAAAAGGCTACAAACTAAAAAATTGTTGATATAAATGGTAAATTTATAAAGAAAAGTATAGAAAAACTTTTCTAAAACTGTAAATAAATTTTTTTATAAATTTTTTTATAAATTTTTTTATATAAATATATTGTATATTTAAAAAAAATACAAACTTGCACGAATGTTTTTAATGACATGACTATTATTTTAAAGCCCATAAATGTCATAGGTCTTGAAGCTCGAATCATTATCAGAATTAAATTTTTTTTCGTACTATTTGTTGTAGACCACCATTGAATTTCATAAATACCATCCAAAAATTCTAAATTCTTATTAAAAAAAAATATAATTGAATTTTATAATTATCAAAGAAATAAATAAAAAGTAAAAATAAATTGTATAATAATAATATGAAAAATAATATTTACAAAATTTATTAAAATTAAAAAAAAAATATTAATAAATACCTTTGATTTAATTCGCTCTCCAAAATAACTATATAGAAGAATTTGCGATAATGTTGTTGATACTAAAAATATTAAGGCATAATAATTTGGATCGTTTAAAGATATTTTCGTTAATTGATACATGGCAGAACACAAACTTATCATTGTTGAAAAAAATTGAACAAAAATCATTGATCCAAATAGTTTATTTAAATTGTCAACTATTCTGCAAATTTTCAAAATAAAACTTAAATTTAATTTTATATTTAAATTTTATTTACTAAAGTAATTTTACGATGACCCATTGTTAGTAAGAAAAATATTTTCTTTTTTAATTTTAATGAAAATTTAATATTTTCTAAATGATAATTTTTCGAAATATAATTCTACAAAAATAGGATTATATTTGAAAACAATTTTTAAAAGTAATAAAATTAAATTCTTCCAAATATAAAATTTATTTCAGTGAAATTTGAGAAAACTTAATTGTTTTTTCAATTTTTTTTAAATTCATTTTCAAGAATTCAATTATCTATTTTAAAAAACGTTTCTGTTACAATTTTTCGAAAACTTGATTTTTTTTTTAAACTTTCTAAATTAAATTATTCAAAAATTCAATAATTTTTTCCGAATCAAATATTTAAAAACTTATTATTTCTTTAAAATTGGTTAATTATTGCAATTTCTATTGTAATTTCAATGTAATTCCTATTTTGAAATTTAATATTCTTTCCAAAAATTACAACTGCAATTTTTCCAATTATTTTTTTAAATAAAGATTTAAATATTATTATACTTTTATTTATTTATTTATTTATTTATTATACTTTTTTTTAACATCCTAATTTTTAAAGTAAATTTTTTTTAAAAATAAAATTCGTAAACAAAATATTTTTATTAAACTTACGAAAAAATGTGCAAGTGAAGATTAATAACGTCCTTAACAATTATTTCTTCATAATTCTGCTTTGAATATTTTTGAAAATTTTTTGTTAAACATTTAGAAAGAAAATTCATTCTATAAATGAGAATTTCATATTGTGTCGAAATTTTTAAAATTGTCACTAATGCCAATGATTCAACTGAGCATGTCACAAAGGTCATGAGTGTTACACCAATTGCCTCATGTAAATATGACAATAAAAAAAATGGCCTGTAATTTATGTCGTACGGTGTCCACATTTTAAATGGCAATGGAAATTTAATTATTTTCGGTGGTGGAAATAGAAAAGCTATTAGAGCCGTGGTACTCATTAGAGTTGCATAAATAATTGTGTACAACCTATTTTTAACAAACTGGAATTATTTTTTTTCAAGTTGATTTATTTTCTTTTAATATTCATATTTTTATATTATTATTATTAATATTTTTATTTTTATTTTTATTTTCATTATTATTATTATTATTATTATTATTATTATTATTATTATTATTATTATTATTATTATTATTATTATTATTATTATTATTATTATCAATATTTTTATTATTTATAAGTATAATATTATTATTTTCAACAGCAAGGAAACTGAGAAATTAGTGTTTTTTTTTTAAATATATATTTCTAATATCAGTAAAAAAAATTATATTATATTTACCTACAAGTATTAGACGTTTGTAGTAAAATTTCAAATTCATATTTGTCACGAGGCTGGCAGAGTTCATGAAGAAATAAATTTTTCCATTCAGTTACTGTTGAATGTTGAAAAAAAATTGCAATCATTTTGTAAAAAATATTTAGAAGAAGAAGAAAATAATACGGTGTCTCCATTTCACTGTTAATATTTTTTATATTTTTAAAAATATAAATGAAAATAGAAAGATTGAAAATAAATACAATTGTTATTGTAAGCAATGAATATAAATTATAGAGACAAACTTTCCATTTTGATTTCCAAATAATTGGTTTGTAGATGCCAGATAACTTAAAAAGAAAAAATGAAATTTGTCCGTTGTATAATTTATTTTCGTCATATGTAAATTTTTCCTGTAAAAAAAATGTATTTTTATTTTTTAAAAAAAAGTATAATTTTGAAAAAATTATAATTTTGAAAAAAATTTTTCAAAAAAATTATAATTTTGAAAAAAAATTTTCAAAAAAATTATAATTTTTGAAAATATTTTTTATTTTCGAAACAATTTATAAATTTCAAAAAAAAAATTACACTGTAAAAATAATAGAGATTTAAACAAAATTATCTTTTCTTTAAAAAAAAACAAAAAATTATTTTTGAATTAAACATCATTATAATTTTTATTCAACTCATAATAAGTTTGATTCAATAAAAATTCCGTTTAATTCACTTATAAAATATGTTTATAATTCAAACATGTTTTTTTTTTTTTTTTGATTGGCTACTTAATTTTTGGTTTAATAACAGATTTTCTCAGTGTATAATTTTCGTAAAAAATTTATAAAAATTGTTTAAAAAATAATTGAAAAAAAAATTTTTTTTTAATTGCAACAATACTGACTTGAAAAATTGAATGGGACATGTTCAGTGAAAGACAAAGAATTTTTTTTATTTTAGTTTGAAACTGAGATGTTGTTTTCTTTATAGAAGTCGCATGACATTCCTGCCCCATATGATTTCTTATTAACATTCTAATATATGGTATCGATTTCACGATAAACTGACAATATTTCAGCGAGCGCAGAAAATTGTTGTTGAATAATTTCCATTGTCATTTGCATAGAAAATTATTTTCAAGAATATTTCTCTCGTTTTTCGTGTAAAATTTTAATGAGACTTTATAAAAAGGGGTTTGAATAAGAATATTATATACATTATCTCTCTACTGCGGTGCATATAACTTTTGCAGTTATAAAAAATAATTATTCGTAGACAATAAAGTTTGCAAAGATATATATGACGAGAAATAATTTTATATTTTTGCTTAAAATTCAAATTTTTACTATTATTTATAATTAATTTTTTCTTTTTTAACAAAAAAAAAAAAAAAAAAAAATATTTAGTGAAATTGTGAAATTTGTTTTTGTGTACTTAGTATAAAAGTAGCAGTGGACGACTAATTAAGCCAGTTTCAAGTAGTAAAGATATTCTGTAGTCAGACAACTTTTTATAATTTATCTCACAGTAGTAAAATGTAGTTTTAGTCAGACATTTAATTGTTTTTTCAGCTTGAGCAGTAAAAAAATTTTTGGCAAATAAATATCTATTATTTTTCTTTCAGTAGTAAAAACCAATTTCAGTCAGACATGTTTACTGTTCTTTTCAGATAAGTAGAACAGTAAATTTTCAGTCAGACAAGTTTAGATAAATTTTTCTCTAAGTAGAAAAGAATTATTTTAGTCAGGAATTCTTTAGTTAGAGAACTTTCACTAATTTTTCTTTCAGTAGTAAAAGACAATTTCAGTCAGACATGTAATTGTCCTTTTTAGTTTTAAGTAGTAAAGAATTTTTTTAGTCTGAGCAACTTTCACCAATTTTTCTATCAGTAGTAGGAGCCGATTTCTGTCAGACAAGAAAGTCCCTTTATTTTAAGTAGTAAAGAAATTATTTAGTCAGACAACTTTCTGTAATTTTTCGTTCAGTAGTAAAAGTCATAATTTAAGTCATACATTTAATTATTGTTTTCAAATAAGTAGTAAATATAGTTTTTAGTCAGACAATGAAGTCTAATTTTTCTCTCAGTAGTAAATAATTATTTTAGTCAGACATGTAATTATTCTTTTTAGCTTGAGTAGTAAAGAAACTATTTATTTATACTCTTAACAGTTTTTTTTTTTAATACAATTAACAATTTGGAGCAATTGTACATAATTCTGTTAGCAAAAATACACTCCTACTTTCGGAACATTCTCAAAAACTTTTCATTAGATTGTAAGCAGAGTATGCCGACTTTACTATCTGAAAAAAGTGTTATTTAATATACGTAATTTAAAATTTTTTTTTTTAAATAAAAAATATACGTAATTTAAAAAAATATACGAAAATTAAAAAATTAATAATAAATTAATAAATACCTAATCATGTTAAAAAAATTTAGAAAAATAAAAAAAATTTACAGTAAAATTCAAAGAAATGATTTCAAGTATAAATAGTCAAAAAATACAAACTTGCACAAATGTATCGATCGACATAATAATTATTTTCGAGCCCATAAATGTCATTGGTTTTGAAGCACGAATCATTACCATAATTAAATTTTTTTTTGTCGCATTCGTTGTGGACAACCATTGAATTTCATAAATACCTGCCAGAAATTCTACACTCTTGGCAGTAAAAAAATATTTTAATTTTCTAATTACTAAACGTTATTAATATTTATGTAATTTACATAGTATTTTTAAAAAAAAGTAATAATATAATTAATTATTAAAAAAAAAATTTTTTTTTTAAATATAATTTAAATTTTAACATTTAAAATAAATGTAAGTAACAAGAAGAATGAAATAAAATTATAAATTACAAAATAGAAATAAACAATAACAATAAAAATTAATGAAAATAATATCTATACAAAATTTGTTATTAATTTTATAATTGAAAGTCAATTAATACCTTTAATTTAATTTGCTCTCCAAAATAACTGTAGAGAAAAACTTGCATTAATGTTGATGTTATCAGAAACATTAAGGCCCAGTACTTTGGATCGTTGGAGGAGACTTTTGTTAACTGAAACGTCGCAGAACATAAACTTATCATTGATGAGAAAAATTGAACAAAAATCATTGATCCAAATAATTTATTTAAATTCTCAACTATTCTGCAAGAAAATTTTTATTATAATTAATGTTCAGAAAACGTAAAAATACATATAAAAATATCTCTTTTCCTGTTTATATATCCCTTCCAAAATTCACAATATAAAAATTAAAATTCAGAATCGTTTTTTTAATTCAAAAAGAATATTTTTTTTAATTAAATATTTTTACTATTATCATTGTTTGATTGAGAAATATTTTTATTATTTAGAAAAAAGAATATTTTTATTCTAAAAAAAGTATGTTTTTGTTGTAATAAATTTAATTTTTAAAAATACATTTAAAAATTTCAAAAAAAAAATTTTTAATATATTTTAATTAAAAAATTATTTTCTATTATTCTGTAATATTATAATTATAATTTTTAAAATAAAATGTTTATGTAAATTAATAATATGATAAATTTAGAGGAAAACAAAAATTATAGAAACTTACGAGAAAATGTGTAAGTGAAGTTTAATAACATCTTTAATAATTTTTCCCTCATAATTCTGAGTTGAATATTTTTGAAAATTTATTGTTAAAGATTTAGAAAGAAAATTAATTCTGTAAATGAGAATTTCGTATTGTGCGGAAACTTGCAAAATAATCACTAAAGCTAAAGTTTCCACTGAACTTGTCACACAGGCGGACAATGTTGCAGATACTCCCTGATGTAAATATGAGAATATAAAAAATGGTTTGTAATTTATATCGTACGGTGTCCACATTTTAAATGGCAATGGAAATTCATTTGCTTTCGGCGGTGGAAACAGTAAAACAGTCAGACCCGAAGCATTCATTAGAATTGTGTAAACAATTGTGTACAATCTATTTTTAACAAAGTGGAATTATTTTTTTTTTTTAATTATTACTATTATTGATTTATTAATTTTATTATTATCGTTTTCTACCACAAAAAATGAATTTTTTTTTATTTTCTCAATATTTCTATTATTTCTAAATAATATTATTAAATATTGATAAAATTTTTCTATTTTAATAAAAAAAAAGTAACATTTTTTAGTCTAACATTTTTTTCCAAATGATAAATTAATTTTTTTCAAATAAATTATGTAAATAAAATTTATTATATTTACCTACAAGTATTAGATGATCGTAGTAATATTTCAAATTCATTTTTGTCACGAGGCTGGCAGAGTTCATGGAGAAATAAATTTTTCATTACAGTTACTGTTGAATGTTGAAAAAAAATGGCAATCATTTTATAAAAATTATTCATTAGAACGAGAAAATAAAAACATGTCTCCATTTCGCTGTCAATATTTTTTAAACTTTGAATGATATAAATGAAAATTGAAAAAATGAAAATAAACACAATTCCTATTGTAAATAGTGAATAGAAATTATAGAGAAAAATTTTCCATTTTGATTTCCACAGAATTGGTTTGTAGATGCCAAGTAATTTAAACAGAAGAAATGAAATTTGTCCAATGTAGATTTTATTTTTGTCATAGGTGAACATTGTCTGAAAGTAAAAATTATTTTTTTTTTTTTTAAGAAAATCGTTTACAAAATTTATATTTTAAAAAATCGTTTTAAAAAATTTTGAAAATTTAAAAAGAAAATCGTTTAAGAAATTATTTAAAAAATTGTTTTGAAAATCGTTTAAAAAATTGTTTATGAAATCATTAGAAAAATTGTTTAGAAAAATTGTTAGAAAAATTGTTTAAGAAATCATTTGAAAAATGGTTTCGAGAAGAATTTAAAAAATTGTTTTAAAAATCATTTAGAGAAATATTTAAATAAAATTAGTTTGAAAACTGTCACATAATACTGACTTGACAAATTGAATGAGACATGTATGCCATGTTCGATAAAAGTCAAAGAATATTTTTCCTTTTTGTTTGAAACTACAATGTATTTCTCCTTACCTTGAATGAGAAGTTGTATCACATTCGTGTCCCATAATAATTCTTATTAACATTCTCATATAGTGTATCGATTTCTCCATAATATTGCAATATTGTAGTGAGCGGAGAAAGTTGAGTTGAATAATTTCCATTGTCATTTGCATAGAAAATTATTTTGAAGGATATTTCTCGTTATTCGCGTGAATTTTTAATAAGACTTTATAAAAAGGGGTGAAAAATGATGAATATTATCCGCTAACTGGCGCGGGCGCATAAGAAGAAACTTTTGCAGTTATATAGAAATAGATATTGTAGATAAATTTAATATTGTCATTTCTCAACAGTCTTAAAATTAGACATGTGGCAATAAAATCTACAAAGACTACAATTTTTCGTTACTTCTACATTCTTCAGTACATTTTAAAATTTTAAAAGCCTTTTAATAAATTGTATGCAGTGTATGTTGATTTCACTACCTGAAAAATTGGTAAAAGTGGAAAAATTACAAATTTGAGAAAAATAAAAAAAAAATTTGTACGACAATAAAAATTAAGATAAGAATTTTACAATTATTATTATTAATTATTAACTATATTAATCTTTGTATTTTTTCATTCATTCTGCCCGCAGTTTGAAGTTAGTTTCTGTTTATGATTTTGTTTTCTTTTCTTTAAAAAATATTTTTTGACAAATTGAAAATATGCAAAGTATTTTTTCATGATTCATAATAAAATAGTATTACAAATCAGAAAATTTAAAAAAAAAGATGATTAATAAATAAAAAATATACCCATTTTGTTTGCTATATGCTTTTTTCTATAACAAATTTCGTTTGACTGATCTAAATTATTATGCAAATTATTCTCCTTTTTATTTACAAAAAATACTAGAAAATTATTAATTGATAACAAATTTTTATCAAGAAGTAGGAAGTATACCCATTTTATGCATAATTTTTATTTTTCAATAACAATATTGTTTAAAAACTCATTTTTTTCTTTTGGGAAGAAAAACATTGGATATTCCCGTTTCTTAATATTTTTGTAGAAAATTCTCAATTTTTATAAGGAAATAATTTACTTCAATTCTATTTCTTAATTTCAATTGTTTTAATAAAATTCAAAGTATTTTTTAAAAATAAAGCAAAAAAAAATGTTTATAAATTATATTTGTCAATTAGAAAATTTTATTGAAAATGAAACTGAAAATTTTTGAATTTTTAGAAAATAAAGGAAAAAATTTTATTGAAAAAAATGTTCTGTTAAATTTATTTACGAATATCTTTAATTGTAAAATTATTCGAAAACAATAATTTCTTTTTTAAATATTTAAAATATTTAATTATTATTATTTTTCCGTAGGAATTAAAATTCTTCAAAACATTCAAATTCAAATCTTTTTGAAATTAATCAATTTTAAAAATATTGTTAGAAAACATTAAGATTAACGATTTCTTTATGTTTTACAATAATTAAAGAGGATCGAGTGTTAAAATAACTATTTTATATTATAAGAGCATTGTTACTGTAACTTCTTAAAATTTATTTTCATATTATATTATTATCTAAAATTTAAACTAAAATTCATTTTCAAATCAATTTGTATTAGAATATTCTACAAGAATTCAATTATTTAAATACAAAAGTAAATTATTTATTGAATAATTAAATGTTTCTTAACATTTAATTCTTATAAAGAATGTTATTAACAAATTTTTAAATAATTGAATTCTTTTGACGAATTTTAATAAAAAAATTTAGAATAGTTACATTTTTCAAGGAATTCGATTAAAATTGTATTAAAAGTAATTGAAATTCTGCGATAAGTTTTATTATTTCTGAAAATAATTGAATTATTAAGAAGAATTTTATTATTTACGAAAATAATTAAATCTGTGTAAAAATTTTATTATTTATGAAAATAATTGAATGATTACGAAGAAGTTTATTAAAAAAATTTGTAAATAATTGTATTCCTGTGAAATTTTTATTGTTTATGGAAATAATTAAATGTTTGCGTAGAATTTGATAAAATTTTTTTCAATTAATTGAATTCCTTTGGAAAATTTTATTAAAATAGTAAATATTGAAAATCATTGAAATGGAAAAGATTTTTGAAAAAAATTGAAATTTTGACAAGAATTTTATTACAATTTTTGAAAATAATTGAATTTTGAAGAAGAATTTTTTTATTCATAAAGATAATAATTGGAATTTTGTCGAGATTTGTTTGTAAATTTTGAACATAATTGAATTTTGTGATAAGAATTTTATTACTTTTGAAAATAATTCAATTTCTGCAATTTGTTACTTTTTCAAAATTCAATTTTTTAGTGTTTTTAACTAAAATTCTTCTGTAAATCCATTATTTTTAATAATTAATTAAATATATATATTGACAAATTTAACTAATTTTAGCAGATTTTGAATTATTAAAATTTTTCAAAAATCTAAGTTCATTAAAATTTCTAATTAAATTCATTCAACGTTAAAATTTTATAAAATTTGAAATTGAAGTCGTTTGAAGTTAATTTATTTATGAAAATTGTAAACGCAATTCTTTTAAAATTGAATTATTTTTGAAATATTTAAGTAAAATTATTCATTAAATAATTTATTTATTTTGTGATAGTTGTTCAAGATTTAAGTTATTTAAAAATAAATTTTTATCAGAAATTGAATAAATTGAAGGGTTTTGTTAGAATTCGTGTTAATTTTATAGTTTATGAATCAAACAAAAAAGACACAAAAATTCAGAATTTTCTTATGAATTCTAAAAATTTAATTTTTTTCAGAACTTTTAATAAAAATTCCTGACTTTTCCCTGAATTTCCTGTGTCAGAATATATGATTATTATAGTTATAACAATATTAAAAGTATAGTATTTCAATTCATATTTTATTTTTATGAAAATAAATTTGAATTAAAAATTTTTAACTTGTATTATTTTTAAAATTGCTAATTTTATTTAAAATTTTACTTAAAATTTTATTTAAAAAAGTGAGTAAAAAGTTGCTAGTTAATATTATTAATATTATAATTAACAAATTTAACAATTTATAACAAAATTTGTAAATAACTTTTTTGGATAGAATTTAGTCTAAAATTTAAATAAAACCTTATATATTATATTAAAATTATAAAGCTGAAACTCGTATCCAGTTAATTTTTTTGAAAATTTTACATCGGTTTGAAGCAAAAAAAAATTTGTTTAAAATTTAATTTTCAAAATTAAGTGGCTGCCAGTTTTAGCTTCAGATTAAAAATTTACAAACATGAACAAATGTGTCTATCGACATGACGATTATTTTGCAGCCTGTAAATGTCATTGGTTTTGAAGCACGAATCATTATTGTGATTAAATTTCTTTTTGTTTTATTCGTTATGAACACCCATTGAATTCCATAGATACCATCTATCAATTTTATACTCTATTTATAAGTGGAGTAAATATATTATTTCAATTTTGTGCCTTCAAATATATTTAGATAAAAATTAAAAATAATCGAATTAATAAAGTCGTGTTAAAACATAAAAATACAAAAAATATAATATGGAAAAACATAACTTTTTTGCAATTTCTTAAAAAAAAACGTTTTTTATTTTTAATTTAATCGTTTTTAATTTCCCCGTTTTTTTTATTTTTAAATTTCTTAAAAAAATTAATAAATAAATAAAAATTGAGGAAAAAATATTTGTAAGTAAAATAAAATACCTTGGATCTAATTTTTTCTCCAAAATAACTGTATAAAAACATTTGCAGTAATGTACACATGAGAAGAAAAATTAATATCCAATATTTAAGATCGTCTTGAGAGATTTTTGTTAATTGATACGTGGCCGAACCAATACTTATCATTGATGAAAAAAATTGAACGGAAATCATTGATCCAAATAATTTGTTCAAATTTTCCCCTATTCTGTAATTTTTAATTAAATTTTAAAATAAATTTTTTAAATCAGTATTTTTTTTATAATTAAAATTATTTTTGTAGTTTAATAAAAATAAGTAAATAAATAAAGAAGAGAGATTTGTACTCACGAAAACATGTGCGTGTGAAGTTGAACAACGTCCTTAATAATTTTCTCCTCATAATGAAGAGTGGAAAATTGTAATTGATGATTTATTGCAGAAATTTTCGAGAGATAATTTAGTCGATGAATGAGAATATCATATTGCGAACAAAGTTGCAAAATTATTACTAAAGCTAAAGTTTCGACTGAACTTGTTACGCAGGCCGATAAAATTGCAGCTGCTCCCTCGTGTACACATGACAGTATATAAAATGGTCTGTAATTTATATCGTACGGTGTCCACATTTTAATTGGCAGGGGAAATTCACTTTTCGTCACTAGGTAACTCAGGAAAAGTGCTAGTACCGAAAAATTCATTAAAATCGTGTAAACGATCGTGTATAACCTATAGTATAACAAATTAAAAACAGAAAATTTATTATTATTATTTTAATGATTCTTATCATCATTCTAATTATTATTTATGTTTTTTTCAATTAAATTAACAATGATTTTCTTCAGTGTATTTTTTTATATTATTTTTGTAGTATTTTTATACTATTTTTATAGTTGATTAATTTTGCAGTACTTTTATAGTTAAATTTTTTTAAGTCTTAACAATTTTTTTTCTCTCTGTATTTTTATAGTCAATTATTTCTGTAGTATTTTTATAGTTAATTAATTTTGCAGTATTTCATAGTTAATGTTCTTTAGATTTAACTTTTTTTTTCTCTTTGTATTTTTTATAGTAAATTATTTTTGTAGTATTTTTATTGTAGTTTTATAGTTAATTTGTTTTGCAATATTTTTTCAGTTAATTTTTTTAACCTAAACAATTTTTTTTCTCTTTGTATTTTTTATAGTCAATTATTTTTGTAGTAGTTTTACAGTTAATTTGTTTTGCAATATTTTTTTAGTTAATTTTTTTAACCTAAACAACTTTTTTTCTCTTTGTATTTTTTATAGTCAATTAATTTTGTAGTATTTTTTTAGTTAATGAATTTTGTAGTATTTCTATCGATAATCAGTTTTGTAGTATTTTTATAGTTAATTTTTGTAGCCATAACCATTTTTCTCTGTTTGTATTTTTTGTATTTTTTAGGTTATTAGTTTTGCTGTATTTTTATAGTTAAAATTTGTTTAGACTTGAGAATTTTTTTTTATTTATAGTTTTTTTATATTTAAGTTTTTTAGCCTTAACAATTTTTTTCTCTTTGTATTTTTTATAGTCAATTATTTCTGTAGTATTTTTATAGTTTTTCCTAATTAATTAATTTTGCAGTATTTTCATCGTTAATGTTCTTTAGCCTTAACAATTTTTTTTCTCTTTGTATTTTTTATAGTCAATTATTTCTGTAGTATTTTTATAGTTAATTAATTTTGCAGTATTTTCATAGTTAATGTTCTTTAGATTTAACTTTTTTTTTCTCTTTGTATTTTTTATAGTCAATTATTTTTGTAGTAGTTTTATTATAGTTAATTTGTTTTGCAATATTTTTTCAGTTAATTTTTTTAACCTAAACAACTTTTTTTCTCTTTGTATTTTTTATAGTCAATTAATTTTGTAGTATTTTTTTAGTTAATGAATTTTGTAGTATTTCTATCGATAATCAGTTTTGTAGTATTTTTATAGTTAATTTTTGTAGCCATAACCATTTTTCTCTGTTTGTATTTTTTGTAGTTAATTAGTTTTGTAATATTTTTATAGGTTATTAGTTTTGCTGTATTTTTATAGTTAAAATTTGTTTAGCCTTGAGAATTTTTTTTTCTTTATAGTTTTTTTATAGTTAAGTTTTTTAGCCTTAACAATTTTTTTTCTCTTTGTATTTTTTATAGTCAATGATTTCTGTAGTATTTTTATAGTAGTTTCATAGTTATTTTGTATTGCAGGATTTTTTTTAGTTAATTTTTTAACCTAAACAACTTTTTTTCTCTTTGAATTTTTTATAGTAAATTATTTTTGTAGTATTTTTATTGTAGTTTTATAGTTAATTTGTTTTGCAGTATTTTTTCAGTTAATTTTTTTAACCTAAACAACATTTTTTCTATTTGTATTTTTTACAGTCAATTATTTCTGTAGTATTTTTATAGTTTTTTATAGTTAATTAATTTTGTAGTATTTTCATAGTTAATGTTCTTTAGATTTAACTTTTTTTTCTCTTTGTATTTTTTACAGTCAATTATTTCTGTAGTATATATTTATAGTACTTTATAGTTAATTAATTTTGCAGTATTTTTTATAGTCAATTACTTTCGTAGTATTTTTATAGTAGTTTTATAGTTAATTTATTTTGCAGTATTTTTTCAGTTAAATTTTTTAATCTAAACAACTTTTTTTTCTTTGTATTTTTACAGTCAATTAATTTTGTAGTATTTTTATAGTTAATTAATTTTGTAGTTTTTAAAACTTTTTTTTATCTTTAATCAGTTTTACAGTATTTTATAGTTAATTGTTGTAGCCATAACCTTTTTTTGTTTTTTTTTTGTAGTTAATTAGTTTTTTTAATGTTTTTATAGTTAATTAGTTTTTATTTTTATAGGTTATTAGTTTTGCTGTATTTTTATAGTTAAAATTTGTTTAGCCTTGATAATTTTTTTTTCTTTATAGTTTTTTATAGTTAATTTTTTTAGTCTTAACCATTTTTTTTTCTCTGTGTATTTTTAATAGTTAATTAGTTGTATAATTTTTTTTTATAGTTAGTTAATTTTGTAGTATTTTAATAGTTAATTAGTTTTGCAGTATTTTTGTAGTTAATTTTTTCACCATTGAGGATTTTTTTTCACTTTGTATTTTTATAGTTAATTTTTTAATCCTAACAATTTTTTTTTCTCTGCGTGTATTTTATAGTTAATTAGTCTTGTAGTATTTTTAATTTTTTTAGTTTATTTTTTTTTAGTCTTGAGTGTGTAGAATATTTACCTGCAAGAATTAGAAGTTCGTTGTTGTATTTTAAATTCAAATTCATCGCGCGGTTGGCAAAGTTCATTTCTAAATAGATTCTTCGATTCAATGATAAATGAACGTTGCAGAAGAATTGAAATCATTTTATTAAAATTATTCATTAGAACGAGAAAATAGAAAAATGTCTCCATTTCCCCGTCAATATTTTCGAGGTTTACAATAATGTACATAAAAATAGAGAAAATAAAGAAAAAGACAATTGATATTGTAAACAGTGAATATAAATTGTAGAAAAAAATTTTATATTTCGATTTCCATAGCACTGGTTTATAAATGCCAATTAATTTAAACAGAAGAATTGAGATTTGTCCGATGTATAAATTATTTCCACCATAAGTGAACATTGTCTGAGTAGAAAATTAAATCTTTTGCCTCTAATTTTTTTCTTTTTTCTTTTTTTTTAATTTTTTAAATATTTTATTTTATTTTAAATTTATTATTTTAAATAATTTATATTTATAATTTTATTAATTTATATTTATAATTTTATTAATTTCTTTTTCTAATTTTATTAATTTATATTTATTACTTTACAATTTTCTTTTTATGAAAGTGAAAAATTTTATAAAACTGCTGAAAGGAATATTTTATTTTATTTTTTATTTTAAATTATGAACGGGTAAAAAGTATGAGAAGGTTACAATTATTTTAATAGTCAATTAATAAATTTGTCTGAATTAATTAGTAAAATCTTATATTATTATTAGTCAACTATATTTTACTAATTAAATATCTGACTATGTTTTTTTTTTCTCTCTGGAGGAGAATGAGAAGTATCACATTCGCTTTCCATAATAATTCTAGACATTCCTGGCAAATACAGTCCTATTGATTTCCCGATATATTTGAAATATTGTTTAGCGTATGCACTTGGTGAATAATTTCTATCGTAATTTACATAGAAAATATCATTTAACGACAATTCGCTCCGTTTTTCGCATAAATTTTTGATCAACATTTTATATGAGGAGAAGAAACTCGATGCGAATAAGTACCATTTCTAAATAATTTTTATAGATTCAAAAGTAACTTACAATATTGTTATCAAAACTGAATTATTATATTCTGAGTGACAAAAAATTGAAAGTCCTAGCAACTAGAACTCCTTTTTTTTTGTTTTCTTCTTTTTTTTACAATAATAAAGAAGAAGATGAAAAAAAAATATAAGAAACTTTGGACATACAGAAAATTCTTTTTTGATTTTTAAACCAAACAAAAATTTTTCTAATCGTCAGCTACATAAATTGGGAGTAAAAAGAAATTTTTTATTAAAATACAATGAGTATTTTTTTATAGTATTTTTTATAGTATTTTTTATAGTATTTTTTATATTTATTTCTATTACGAGTCTATTTTTTTAGAAACTTCTCATCAGACTATAAGCGGAATATGCAGTCTTGACAATCTGAAAGTTAAAAAAAATTTCTAATTATGGAATTAAAATGAACATTTAATTAAAATATTTAAATTCAAAATAAAATAATTAATGAAATTTTAAAAATTAAATAATTAATAAAAAGGTGGTTTTTGTTAAAAATTACGGAATAATTTGAAATTGTACAATTATTAATTATTACCTGCACGAAAGTATCTGTTGACATTATAATAATTTTAAAGCCCATAAATGTTAAAGGTCTTGAAGCTCGAGTCATTATCAGAACCAAATCTCTTTTTGTTTCATTTTTTATGCATAACCATTTTATATCGTAAATGCTTTTCATGAGTGCGACACTCTTTGGTTTATAATTTTAAAAAAAAAATAATAATAATAATCAAAGAAAGAATTTAATAATAAATAATTTATTTAATGTTTGGCCATTAGGCCAAACAAATAAGTCTAAGATCTTTATTATTTAAATAAATAATTTAATAATAATAATAATAATAATAAATAATAATAGTAAATAATAGTAATAATATTTCGTTTATTAACACATTTTTTCTAAGGATATCAAATTAAGACAAAAAATGTTGCAAAATTGTTGCGACGCAACATTTTTTTTTTGTCTCAATTTGATATCCTTAGAAAAATTGTGATAACTGCGCATTAATTTGGACGTAAAAACAAAAAAAAAACAATTATTACGGGAGTAAAATTCGAAATAAATATGAAAACCAACCTTGGCCATAATTTTGTCACCAAAATAACTGTAAATATAAATCTGCAATAAAGTTGAGATTAGTAAAAATAATAAAATCCAACTTTTTGGATCGGCTATGGACAATTTTGTTAACTGATAAGTAATTGGACATAAACTCATTGACGATGAGAAGAATTGAAAAAATATCATTGAGCCAAATAATTGATTTAAATTGTCTCCGATTCTGTAAAAAGAAAAGAGCA